TGAAGCTGTGAACAGGTTCCACCGAGTCAGGTTGCCCAGCAGAGGACTGGAGCATGTCTTCCTTCCTGGGATTCACTGGATGTCCTGATGCCTCTTGTCCCCGTCAACCAGCCACTCATCAGTGGTGCACATATCCCAGTAACTTAAATGGCATCACCAAACACCAGCCATACTCATAATTCAAACCTGGCATTTGCACCTAAATTCCCACTCCCACACATAACATGCTGGCACCATCCTGTTTATAATGGAGGACTTGGGCTCAATTAGAGGTCAGTAAGGGGAAAGCCTCATTACGTGATCATGTTTGCTTACAGGGCCGAGCCCACATGGGGAATTCCCTGGGGACCACCATCCACATAGCCCCCGTGGCCCCTCCTCACCAGAAGTCAGACAATGACCACATATAATGCGAGATAGGAAGTGCTCGAAGCTGGGAGCACAGGGGAGGGGCGATGAATTTTGTCTGGGGAGCTGGGGAAGGCCTGACATCAGGTTTATAAAACCAGGGTATTCAACACAGCCCCATCGGAGCCTCTTAAACAAGAGTCACAGAATGTGTGGACTCTGAGCATAAATACAGAAAGAGAGCTGACAAATGGAATCTCTGCTGGTCTTTCCACATTACCTGCAATGTCTCCCTAAAGTCCTAAGAGGCACCCTTCCTGGGCAGGGACGGGGGGGAGTAGAGCAGCTGGGAGCCAGGATGCCTGTGTTCTATTTCCAGCTCCTACCACTGACTCATGATGTGACCTTGTTGAGGTTGTGGCTGTGTTTTCCTTGCTGGTGGAAAATCAGAGGGAGCAAAGCCTGCATTTGTCCGAGAGACAGGAAGCCTCCCTGCTCCTCACAAGCCCTAGTCGTATATGGTCCTGCTGGTTTTAATAAGACAATGCTTAGATTTGGATCCTATGGGTTTTGACGGGGACACTCAAAGCAAGAAACAGGTAGTTCTGAGAGAGCAAGTGTTCAGCTCTCACCAGCGCAGGCGGCAGAGGGTGCCCCCTGGTGGTGCCGGCAAGGAGGGGCAGCAGGTGGAAACGAACTTAGTGGCACCACCGCTTGGATATTCACTGTTTCTCTGGGCACTTTTCAAATCACGTTTCTGTGCTTTTCTCCACATGGCTCTCACATCATCTGTGCAAAGGGGAGGAGGAAGAAAGGCATTTTCTCCTGAGTTTAAAGATAAGGAAATCAAGGTCAGAAGTAGAATTTCTTAGCATTTTCATCACCAAAGCCCCCTTTTACTGTTTTACTATCATGCATCCCTCTGTTTTGCAAGGTCTTGTCAGCTAAATGCTCTGCAGTTAGGAAGTGGAAACCAATCTTCCTTTTCATTCATCAAAGTCACACGGGTGAGCATCAGGTAAAGTTTCTGTTCAGCACAAAAGAATACTTCGACCACTGGGCTCATTACCAGCAATTCCAGCATTTACTTGGAATGACTCCTCAGAGGTAAAGGACCAGGTTCCACCAGACTGTTGACATTCTGAACAGAGTTCACCTTCAAGGAGCTCAAGGGCCGCAGGCTGGGAAGCACTTACCCAGAGAGATCAAGTGGCCTGGGAAAGGTTCTATGGCTAGTGATGGGGGGACCAGGACCAGACTCCAGGCCTCCTAGGCCAATGCTCCAGCCAGCCAGAGCCCTTGGCAGGGAGGGGATGTGCACACACAGACACATACTCACGTGCAAGATGGCAGCCCCACCAAACACAGGGTGTTGAGAAGCAACGATACCCAGGGCTCAAACCAGGAATAAGTTTCCTTCAGTAAGTGGAGTGGGCAGCCAGAACCAAGCTGCAGCTTGTGTTTGGAAATTTAGACAGCATAATAGATGGTTTCAGGGTGTTCTGGTTCCCTAGTGCCACTCTGACAGGGAACATACCACAAATGGGACGGCCTTAACAAACAGGAGTTGATTCTCTTACAGTTCAGGAGGCTAGAAGTCCAAGTTCAAAGTACCAGGCTCTGGAGGCTGGGTGAAAGCCCCTCAGCCTTGGGCTTCAGCTCTGCCTCTAGCTCCCGGCCCACTGGAGCTGGAGACGTTCTTCACTCAGCTGCTGGCTGCTGAAGCGGAGAAGCCCAAAGTTGACAAGTAAAAAGGCACAGTCCCAATGTTACCAAACCACATGGCAGGCCATTAATTTAAGTCCATTGTAAGTCCCAAGGTTGGCAGAGCATGGCAGCCATTGGACAATGACACGGCTACATGCAGGGTTCAAGGTGCCATAAGCTAGAGACCATTCCCAAGGCTTCTCCTTATGTACAAGAAGCAGACCACATCCCAAAGGCAGCTACTCAGCTGCTTGTGGTAGATCCCACCATGGAGTTGATTGCCAGTCTCATCACAGGGAATAACTACCACCAGCTGCCCAGCCACTCAACCAGGCCCAGCCACGTTGATGCAAAAACATAACCACCACACAGGGTGTTCTGGAGAGCTGCAAGGAAGGTTGTTGTTGCTAGTTGCTGAGTTGGCTCAGACTGATGGCGACCTTGTATATAACAAAATGAAACGTTGCCTGCTTCTGGGCCATCTTCATGATCTTTGATATGTCTGAGTCAGTTTTGAGGCTACGGTGTCAGTCCATCTCATTGTTTCTTTCGTTCTGCTGTGCATAAGGTCTCTATGAATTGAAGATGACTCAGCGGCACCTAACAACACAACAACAACAAATCTCACTGAAGGTTTCCCTTGTTTTTGTTAACCCTCCACTTTACCATGGAGTCTCTGGGTAGCACTAATGGTTAAGCACTCAACTACTAGCTGAAAGGTTGGTGGTTCAAACCCACCCACAGATGTCTTAGAAAAAGCCCTGGAGATCTGCTTCCGAAGGTTCACAGGTTTGAAAAGCCCGTGCAGCACAGTTCTCCTCTGCACATTCATGGGATCGCTGTCAGTCGGAATTGACTCGCTGGCAACTAACAAACAACAGTAATTACTCTGCTAAACATCACGTCCTTTGTTAGCAGTTAGTCTTTCCTGATGACGTGGCCAAAGTAAGCAAGACAAGTCTTGCCATCCTTGCTTCTAAGGAGCGTTACAGTTGGGGACCTGTTTTTTTCTGTCACCTGCCTGTGCATTGGCAGACTCTTCCAGAAAGCACTGTTTCTGCAGGCTGGGCCCTTTCACCCACTCTGGCAGCATTCAGATTATCACACAGACCTCCACCTCCTGAAAGAGGATGACACTAGAGGGAGACCAGAGCGGGTGATGATGATCTCAAATTGGGGACCCAGGGAGAGTGGGAACACAGAGGACTCAGGAGGTCTAGCTTGATGGCCTGGAATCAGCAGGACTTCAAATGGCTCCGGGCTTCACCTGTATCTCTGGCCCAGCCAGAGCGCTCCTGCAAACACTTGTTCTCTGTTGAGCCCTTGGCTCTGTCCCAGAGGCTCAGTTTTTGATCCCAGGCTCAGAAGCATCGGAAGGCATCAAGACCGTGTGTACCTTTGGAAAAAGGCTGGGGGCTTAGCTTGGGCTTCATTTTCCAAGGCTCCACCAATCTCCATCAGAGACAGGGTCAGAGCAGGGTCCCTGGGGGCCTGTTGCCCAACACCTGTTCCCTGGGTTATTTTGGTCCAGTAAGAGCTTGTCAATTCCAGAGTATTTGGACCAAAATAGCCAATAGCAGCAACTATCTCTTGGTGGCTGTGTTGGGACCACCCCACATAAAGAACTTTCTAAAACGGGGTGGGGCCAGGGGAAAGGAGTTTGGCTTGGGAGAGGGAGGGGTCAAGGAGGAACTCTCCTGCCAGTGTCTGAGGCTGAAACCCCCCCCCCCCCCCCAGTTTCTGTTCTTTCAGCCTTGGCAACTCCCTGACCCCTATCCTCTGGACCAATGCTGAGGATTTGGTGGGGAGGGAATGAGAATATTTTTC